TCAGCCAGATATTGGCCCAACATGCAGCACACCAATGGCCCCTTCACAGCGCCATGCTAGATCCATTTCAAATTTCAAACTATGGGTTTCATGCTGGGATGGCAATAGCGCTTGGTGCTTTCAACCAAAAAAAAGCTTAAATGGGATATACTGAGTTATACCAGCTAAAAATCCACCATAAAAACCACGGTTATTTCATCCCCCAAAAATCAGCCATAGAAATGGGATGATCACCGATCATCCCCTTTCTGGAAACCCTCAGATTCCGGATGGCAAATCGCGTCGGACCTTCGGTCGTTAGCGGCGACAGGCTTGCCAAAAATTGCGCAACGAAGAGGCAGAGCGCATTGTTGGCGCTGTTCAAAGTGGGTAATTAGCGGCTTGTTTGGGAAGATAGGTATGATAGGTATATATAGATGTACAATAGTGTATAGAAGATACACACACACACGTACATTACATTGCAGTAAATCGCATTAAGTTACATTGCACTACATTACACTATTACACGTTCCAATTATAGTATTTACACATCTCTCCTATCTCCATAAACTTGGAGTCCCAGCCCCAGTAGAGTACTTCTTACACCTTCTTGCTGTTCTTGGTGAATTTTTCATCATTTTTCCCATTTCCCAATCCATTTAATGCCATCTTCATCCATCTTCCAAATTCAACATGACCTAAATGGTCCCAAATATGTGTAAATCCCCTAAATCCCATGGTTTCCTTTGGGGCTTTTGAATATATGACGATATTTAGGACCATCTCCCAGGTATCCCGTCAGAGTTTCGCACGTGAGGTCGGCAAGAAACTCTGGAACTTCATGAAACGAACCTGGGTCACTGTGTGGAATCCAAGAGATTCTGATGAAAAACCGCCGGGAAATTTGGGTTTTTCTACCCCAAAAAGAGATAGAAAATGATAGAAACATGAAGTCATGAAGTCCTACAATAGAGTGATCAAAATACGTAACCATCTTTTCTTACAGGCTACTACTATTGTGCTAAACATGACCAATTGTTGTGGCTCTTGAGTTCAAAAGCATCGTTGCCTGCGACGTTTGATCTTTCTCCATTTCTGACCGCAAGTGATCAGGCGATCAGCCATACCCATTTGAATGGTTTGAAACATTGGAGATATCACTTGATATACCCTCTGGTAATTTAACGTAGCTATTGAACATGACCATTTATAGTGGATTTTCCCATTAAAAATGGTGATTTTCCATAGCTATGTTAAATTACCAGAGGGTATCACTTGATATAACGAACACAAATAAACCAGAGACATGCAGTTGTACGACCAACAATCTGTGGTTTTCAGGAGTGGTTTCAAGTCTTGCTAGGTTCACAATCGTCACTGGTTTGGCCATCCCTCGTCGATGCGAGATGTCCCTTGGGACACTCGAATGAACATTTGCCATAGATATGACAATAAAATAGATCATCGTAATGGAGGATGATTCATGGAGTTTGGTTTGATGAGATTTCAACTATCAGTATATGTATATTTATATGTATGTGTGTATATTGTATATGTGTATATGCATATGTATATATATATGTAAATATGTATATATGTAGATATGTAGATATGTATATATGTATATGTATATATGTATATCTGTATATCTGTATATCTGTATATATGTATATATGTATATATGTATATCTGTATATCTGTATATATGTATATATGTATATATGTATATATGTATATATGTATATATGTATATATGTATATATGTATATATGTATAGATGTATACATGTATATATGTATATATGTATATATGTACATATGTATAGATGTATATATGTATATATGTATATATGTATATATGTATATACATATCATATTATACTATATTATATCATGTTATGTTATGTAAATTATGTTATATTATATTGTATTATATACACATCTTTATAAAGATCATTTGAAACCATCTTTTGGGGTATTTCCCAGCGAAAAAAATGGAGGTCCCCAACATTCGCTTGGCGCGGCAGGCTCTCAGTGAGCTGAAACGTGACGCGGACGTGGCGTTCTCAGATTTCGAGAGGGTCAACTTTTTAAGGCAAAAACCCATGTTTTTTTTGATCATTATAACTAAATTATAACTAACCAGGGTTACTAAGCAAAATCAATGGTTTGGGGTACCCATCGGGAAACTTCCATATGTATATAATTAACCTGGAATATTAATCATTATTTCCACAATTTAACCAGAGTTAATCAATATTAATCTGGTGAATGTGACAATAACTGTTTTTTTCTATCATTAATCTCATAGAATTGGATGATGGGAAAATTTACAGGAAAGCCCTATATTTGATGGTAAAAACCATGGTTTCCTGTAAATTTTCCCTTAAACCAATCCAGTGATAATCTGGTTGAAAAAACTAGTGACTTCACTGCAACCTCTATCCGGCAGTTTCAGGATTGGGGGAATCATCTCCGGCAGTTTTTTTTGGATTTTGCATGGAGGGGGCCGGCCAAAGAGAAGATGATTGGCCTTATTTTAGGTTGGTGAAATTCTATTTTACCCAGATTAATAGGTTAGATGGATTAAGCTGGTACTTCTCCAGTTTTAAACTGAGACCGAATTTTGGTACCGTCCCTGTCCCTCGAAAAAATCGCTCGGTGGGCCGATCATATCCAATATGCAGCTTCTTATACACCCCTGAAATTCAACATGGCCTAGAAGAAAATCCAAGAAATGGGTTTCGACGATAACTCTCCATTCTATTGTCCGGATTTCAGGTTTCTGGGGGTTTCACATTCAGGGTTCTTAATTGCTGCATCGATGCTGAGCAAGGTTTGGAAGTCTGCCACTTGCGACGCAGTCTAAATTTTGGGTCGGTAGGTCAACGGACTATGATTTTGGTACGTGTAGACAAGCTGTAACGTACTGTAAACATACTATGAGTTTCTATGAAATACAGCAAAATATATGAAAACCATACTATCATATTAGATCACACTATAAGATACAATAATTAATCATATTGTAAATCCTCCTTAAAGAAGAAACCTCTTTGAAAGTGGCATTTTGCCAAGGCACCTGGCAGTCCGGAGGCGGCGGCGTTGAATCCATCCCGCTGGTTTTACGTTGAAGATTCGTTCCCTTAAACCATTGATTTACCCAAGAAAAATGGAAGATGTGAAAATTCTAAGAAACTGGTTGGTGGTTGGTGGTTTGGAACATGAATTTTATGACTTTCCACACTATATTGGGAATATTCGTCATCCCAACTGACGAACACCATCATTTTTTCAGAGGGATGTGGCCTGAGAGTAGAAGATGCAGAAGATGATCTGGTGGTGACAGCTCTTGGCCCTTGGCTCGAGAAAATTCTATCCTACTAATCACAACTATAACTTGCGAACTTGGTTCTACAGTAGTGTAGATATTCCCAGCAAATATCCCCACAAAATAGAGAATCCCCCTAAGATTCTTGGTTTTTATACCCCCCTTTTGTTGTTCTACTGGTGGTCCCTGGTGAGATGATTCTCGGTGGACTTGTGTGTCCTGAACCTGAATGGCATGGTTTATTCGTGGGTTAAACCAGCTATTTTCCGCAGGGTATATCTAAGATTGGTCATACATGTGCCTATATATTATATATATACACATGTATGTGCATCTGTATGCATACTTATATGTACATATATACGTATATATATATATATATGTACATATAGTAGACATACAGTCATATATAGAATAATTTGTATACTGTATGAATACGTACCTATATATATATATAACTATATACATATGGATATGTCCTCCAACATGGGGATATCACCCTGTAAATATGAAACCATAATCCCGAAAAGATTGGTTTATAACCATATTAACGGAATATTCCATTAAATAAGCAGTATGGTTAACAATTATGCTAGTGATGCAATCATTATAATCATAATCATTATATATCCATTGTAATGATGGTTCATCAAAAGAGATATAATTATGTTTTTCCCCCACATTCTCTTCCTGACAATCTCCCAAGGGAGAACCTGTGGTTGTGCCAGGAACGCAGAGAGCATTTTGCAAAGGCAGGGGGCAGGAGGAGCCATGGAACCATGGAACGCTGCTGTTTCAACCGAGAAATGGGTGATACCCCCTGTTCATCATCATGGCTCAACAGCAGTACCCTGGTCTCAGGATGTCTCAGGTATGGGTAATCTTTGACTTGCCGGAGATGTCCAACATACCCTCAACCATTCATTATTTCCGCGGAAATCGCCCATTTTGATTCATTTTGTTTTTGGGAGGGTTATGGGGTTATATCGCAACCTTTTTTGGCACGACGTGGGCATTTTGCACCCTGTGTGGGGTATTTAGAAAGTCAAACCGCAAATCATGTTCCCAGCTCGAGCTTTGACAGAGTGAGCCTAAAAGATGGACTGGCCACTGGCCAAGCTGCAAGCTTGGGCCACTTTTTCGCATGAACCATAATTTGTTGGTGATATCCGTCTAATTCATTGAACACACTATTTCTTACCTGGTACAGAACATAATCCAGCGCTGCACATGTTGATTTTCTATCCCTTTTGCTGGTACTGATTTGACCATGGCCACTTCCTCATAGCTCAGCTGCGCTCAGCTCAAACCGTCGTTCACGACGGTGACACTTTTGTTTTTTTTACAAGAATAGGTCCCTTGCGGCCACCAGATACTTTATGGACTTCGAACTTAGAACCGGCAGCCATTTTATGCAGTATCTTGATGGACTGAAAACCATTTGCATTAATTCAAATGATATCGCATGTTTTGGGGTGCTCGCCACACAGCTGCTGGGGTTGGACTTCCCTGGGGCAGTTATTCAAAAAATAGCAAGATGAGCGAAGGCCGAGACTCTGGCTGATGGTCTTTTTTTGAGGATTATGCCACCATTTCTAGAGAAAAACACTTAGCAATTGGTTCAGAAAGACCTTTTGAGAACAGCTCTGACCCATTTCCTTCCAAAATTCTAGGATTTGAAGTATCCGATGGCTTTGAGTCCAGCAGACCTACAAGGTCTCTCGGGTCTATCCCCTGTGCAACTTGAATTGGAGAGCTGTTTGGATTTGAAACAGTTCGAGCAGCAACACTTCCACCTGGTGGGCGGACTTTTGGTGGCGCTGTTTCTGGGTGCACAGGTGGTGGTGCCGGAAAAGGGCACCTTCCATCCCTTCGACCTCGCCATCACCGAGGGCAGCGTCCGGCAGCTCTTCACGACCTTTTGGTGTTCGCAGGCGCCCAGTGGCAGCCAGAGCCTCTGGTGCGGCGACACGCTGGAGACGCTCCGCTGGGAGCCCAAGGCATCCGCCCAAGTGACGGTGCAGACCTGGGCGCTCACGGTGGATCAGTGGAATGCCGAGGAATTGATGAGAGTGGGAGAGGTGGTGTGGACCAAACGAAAACCGGCACAAATCAGCCGCCTGACTCTGGGCTGTGATCTTGGGTCTCAGTTGAAAATCTCTGAGGGAAGCCAAATGTTCACCTGGTTTTGGAGGATTCATAGTGCAGTGAGCCTCCGACGTGACATTACCAGCATGTCCAGCTTCCTGGAACAGAAATTCATTGAATCTCATCCAGCCGCTCAAGTGAAGGCCCAAAAGTTAGGCTTTCAATTTGATGAATCCTCCTGCGAATATGGATGTTACAACGTCTTCCAGCTTTGTGCTGAAGATGAGGACTTCATGGAACAGTGTTTGACAGAGACAGAGGACGATCCGGGCGCCAAGTGTGCAGAGAATTTGCTGAATCTTGGCAACATGCTGTTGTCCGAAGGTGGGGCTCCCAAGAAAAAACACCTGAAACTTGTGTCAGCAGGTGGTTTAATAAGGATTGCTTGATGTTGCTTCAATAACTTTTATGTCTAGTTTAACACACTAATTTGTGTTAGAATCAGAAGATCTAAATCTTATATTTCATATTGCTTCCATCCTATAGGATATATGGCATCTGACCAGGTGTGAATCCCAGCATCCCCATCTATCTGATCACCGGCCTTTCGGAGTCGGAACTGCAGAAGTGGAAGACACAACATCACTCCACGGCGCTTCTCTTCCAGGTTGGGAAATTTTGGGTGAAAAGCCCTGGAAAAACATGGGAAAAACCGAAAACGAGTCAATGGAGAAATCATCTTTGAGGATCAGAAAAATATCTGTCCTCCATTCATGAGGTGAAAAAACTCCTGCATGTATGAGGTGAATCATTCCATCCGTTGGTTAAACATATATCCAAGTGATCATTTTCTGGGCCTTCATCCATTGATTTTTCAGAGGTTTACACGGTGGTCACTCCACAGCAGCTCAAACTGGACGTGGCACGGACCCCGAATCGCTTTGCCGCGGTGAATTTTGCGTTGAACCAGGAGCGATCGGGAACTGGGACCATTTTTCAATGATGATCCAATATCCAATGACAGGTTTCGATCGCCAGAGGTCTGGGCCTCCCAGCAGAATTCTGGGTACTGGGTTGGTTGATATTGGTTGCGCCTTGGATTTTTTAAAATCCTTGGATCAATCCATTTCTCTCAGTCTTTATTGATCATATTCTTTTTCGGTCAAGCCAAGTCAACTGTTGAAACTGTCCCCGACATTGTTCCTGTTTGAGAAACAGGAAGCCGAGCTGTTAATAGCCAGTTCGTCCTGCAGCTTAGCGGCCTTCTCCGCCGATGCTCGACACTACAAGAGCCGCTCGAGTCTCTTCTTCGATCGGCAGCCCGCGACATCGCCGCAGTTCCAATGGCACCAGCCGCCAGGGATCATTTTTCCAGTGAGGCGCCAGGGCCAGGAGGAGATCGGTGAGATCCCCAAAAATATGAAGGTGACATCCCGTCAGAAAAAGTGATAGATTAGATGACTTTTCTATCTTTTCTTGGGGTTCCTATATTCTAGACACTAGACACTGTCAGATACTGAACAAAAAGATTGCTTGCCAACTCTTTGTCCCTTCAACTAGGTCTTTTCTTGCTTCAGCATTCGGTGCTCGCGGTCTTTGTGAAAAAGTAGCTGTTTTAAGATGTTTGCCATCTAACCAATTCCTTTTTCTGCCCTGAGGCGGCGCATCAAATGGGTCTTCACACTGCCTTCCAATTCCAACTCGGCACCCTTCAACTTGTCCATTGCGGCGGTGAAGAGTGCCATGTCTACGGCGCCATCCTTGGTGCCGCTGTGTATGACCGCGGCCACCCCTGGGTCAGACGTGGCAAAGCACATGGTATCATTGGGGGTCAGGGTGGTGCATCATCAGCCTACATGGACCAACGTCATGGAGAAATTACTTAGCAAGTATCTGAACATTGGATACTTGGTGAAACTTCACTTGCTGTTGCGGTTGCTGTTTGGGGCGACATTATGATTTATGACCATGATTTATTAGAATTTATTCCATCTCCAAGTAAGTTGAACCAAGATGAACCAAGGATATGTGCCTTTCAATCTGAATGCCGACCAGCTGGTGAGTCGGCTTCTGCGAATTGACCTGCCCATCGTGGGCATCCTGGATCAGTTCGTCCTATACACCGACCCTGATGTCTTGTTCACAGGAGACGTGACCTGGCAGGGCTTGTTGGGTCCCAACTACTTGAGACTGGAACGACTTCTGCGAAAGAAGAAACTCTTAAAGGCGCCCTTTGATGTCTACTACGCTCCACGGAATGCGGAGGGTTTGCCCAAATTCTTTGGACTTGGGAAGGCGGAGACTTCTCAGGACGAGGACACCGCGGTGATGTTTCTAAACCTGAAAACCTTGGGTGAGAGCTACTTCGACTTCCGTCGATATGTCTTTGACCGCTCAGACATGCTCTGGCAGATGCTGGTGTCCCTGGATCCTGCAGGCTACAGCAATTTTTATGTCAATGCTGACGGGAAGACCTGGAGCTCCCGCATTTCACCCCGCTACAACTCGGTCCAGGCGTTGAGGGGAGAGAATCAAAGCAACATCACGCGTTTTGCTGGGAGCAACTGCGACCGGGACATCCTTCCCTACGTCCGGAATCGCGAGGAGCGATCCGAGAGGGATGCAGTCCCCCATGGAAGCAAGGCCTTGCTCAAGCAGTGTGGACACGTCTGCGCGGAGTTGTGCCGCTTGTATCAGAACTATCTGGAAAGTGGATACCCCGAAAGTGGATCCTAAGGGTTGGTCGTACCCAAAAATTTGGGTATGATGATATGGCAAATGATGAATGGGTGAAGAAGCAATTTTCTTGGCAAAGAATGCGCTTATGCTTAGATTATGATTAGCTTTATCATCGTTTTTCATTGAAAGAAAATGTTGCAATTTCGTTTCACCACGCAGTGCAGCGTGCTTCCACCAAAAAGTTGCGACTGACTGCTGGATGCTGGTGCTGTTCGTTGAAATCCATGAAAATTCCCAAGTTTGAGTTTTTTCAAGAGCACAAATCTAGAAGTCTTGGATTTTCCAGCCATGGCCTATCCAACTGAATCTTCTTGAGAGCAAATTCACCTCTATATATATATGATTATCAAATGTTAACTTCATTTCACATGGAGATTCCATGATATTAATATATATATATATATTAATCATATCCATATCTAGTCTATTCCAAATTGAGAGTTTAATCTCCAGAGGCTGCCTTGGAAGCCAGGCCTTCATTTCAGACACTTTGTGGAGACTCTACCAATCTACTGAGCGCCACTGGGACCTCGATTTGGAACCGAAAAAAAGATCAGGGCCATCCACATCATCTGGCTCGCTGGATGGTTTATTTATGTTTATTTCATGGAACATCCGAACATGAAATGGATGATGGCTGGAGGTACCCCCATTTTGGGACACCTCCATATGGGGTCACATGATGGGATACACCCTATCTTATGGTAACATCAATGGCAAATTTATGGCAATCTATGCCCGCGACCCACGCCTGGCCAAATCATCACAAGAGCGGCTTTTTTTCAGGTGTTTGAATTGTAGTAATTTGATGACTTACTTGATGTAGGTTGATTTTCGATGGTAATTTTAGATCATTTGATTTTTTCTATTTGTCTCAAGTCAAGTAGTTTTTGATAACAACAATGATAATCAATGATAATTAATGATAATTAATGATAATTAATGATAATTAATTATTTTTTTAAAGATTATTTGTCTCAAGTCAATGATAATCAATGATAATCTTTTTGTCATAGCAAAGATGTCAAGAACACCCGATGTGAAACGCCGCGCAGATGTGACGACTGGAATGATGATTTGCCCACCAAGATTCGACGGGATCAACAAGAATTTTTGCGTAAGTCACCAAAATGGATATTGATAGTTCATCATTGTTAGTTATTAAATGTTATTAAATATATAATCAAATCGTAATTATTAGTCAATGGATATTGATAGTCAATGAATCTCAATGAATCTCATCATTATATCATGTTGTGAATGGCCATTGGTGGTTAACGATGCTGATGATATAAAAAATCGCGGAGATCGATGGCTACTGATGCCGCCATCTAACTGTTGTCAATGACCATTAACGAATCATTAACGGTTAAGGATGCTTATTACCATCTTATTCCATGTATATCTTCAGTGATTTTATCGCCTCCGAGATGGGACCATGGACATCAGTTCCAATGATGCGGAACAGTTGTTCATCAATGCCCGGGGCGCCTGGTCGGTTGAAATGATGATTTCTAGTAGGACTAATATGGGCTAATGAATCAAATGAAACTTAGTAGTTCGATGTGTTGGTAAAGTAACTGGCTGCTTTCGGCTATTTTTTTGTGTTTTTACCAGTGTTTCGTTGGAAAACCTCATGACATTTTGGTGCCAAACCTTGGAGGTTTGCTGGAAGAGGTGGGAAAAACCACCGTGACCCAAAAAATCTGGTTGGTGAAGTCCGATATTTTACCTTGGCGTGTACTTTGGTAAACGTAAAATAAATATGGAAAATCACCATTTTACCTCCATTTGAATCTGGATTCTAGTTTGGGGCAACACCTTTTGAATAAAAGTGGTTGGACGGTTGGACATGGGACCAATTTGATCCAACTTTTTGATCAGGATCCACATGGACTTTGGGTTCCAGCGAGTTTTTGATCGATTCCTCATCCTCATGTGTGTCGCATTGTAAACTATTGTAACTCGCAAAAAGACTGGATACATCGGGTTTCCAGGAGATCAGAACATATCTGATATCAATAAACTAATTTTACCTATATCTACCTTATATAAGCCTCGTATTTCCACGTTTCCAACTTTGGGGGATATATATATATATTTATAATTATGCATACAAAGCCATTTGCGTAGTATGCATATATATATATATATTATACATGTTGTATGAAACATGACCAGACAGTAAATGATAGATGGTATGTGTCAAATGTTACTTGATATTATATGATATCGAACTATAAAACATATAAAACTAGATGTTCGATGGCCTGCATTCTAAAAGATAATCATCCCTCATGGATTAGTGTCCCCTTGATATCTCTATTTTCCATTCTCTCCCTCCATTTTTATAGTTTGAATATGTTTGAATCCAACATCTACCCAGCCAGAGATTCCAACATCCAGGTACTGAGCCGTCCCAGGATCTTTCCCGCAGAGGTGCCGATAGATACTTACGCAGTTCCGCTTGGAGCACCAGAGGTACCCGTCGCCGTATGGAATTTACGCATCAATAAATGGTGCACCATGAACATTCAATCATGAAAATGGATGAAAATGGGTGAACATGGTGAAACATGAACATTTGATTCATTGAACCATCAAACAGATGGGGATTGAACTATATCTTTACCAATGAATACTCGATTTTTGGTTTATTTCAAGCTAAGGCATACCCGTTTTTATGGAAAATGATGATCAACCATTGGATTTTGGGGTTCCACTTGATGTGCATTGCTATTTTTTTGGGATGTGAAACCAGGGTTTCAGATTGAACTGACCTATCTATCAGAGTGGTGCATTTCCATTGAAAAATGTACTTTAATCCTTTGAGGGACCATTGTGTAGTTGTGGAAACAATCAATAAACCATTTGGAAATGAGGAATTTTACCATTTGTATAGAAGATTCCTCGCTGTTCATTTTGTCATTGTTGTCATTGCATCAGAAAGCAGTACAGTAGGTAGTTTACTAAAAGTACAGTTATCATCAGTTATCAATAACCATCAAAACATATAAAAACTGATATGGATTACTCCCTGACAAAATAACATGGACAAAACCATTCTATGGTGCCTCAAAAATTGCCAAATTGACCGATGTTTCAGAGCCCAAAGCCACTCCGGGACCCGGCATGGGGGGTGTCTGTTTATATGGGATGATATGGGTCAAAATTCAGTACCCCAATGATTAGATGGTTAATATATGTTAATAGATGTTAACATCAAACATCTACTAAACTCTGCGGTCCCTTCTGGGGCTTAAATATGGACCCATCCCCATATACAACGGGAAGGGATTACTTTCAAGCCTCCAGGTTGTCCACGAAACCTTGTCCCAAACATCGCATTGACTTTCTTTCGTATCAAGTTGACTCAGGTTGAAAGTGCAGAGTAGAGATACATACTGCACCAGCGGAAAGGTAGTTTATACCATTTTTTTATAGGCTTTCTACCATCCCAGGTGGTGCAGGATTTCTTCCATCCACCGTATTTCCAGGCGGGTGGCTCCCTGGCGCCGCCCCCAAAGCCATGGAAGGCGGGTCACAGCCATGGGTGACAGAGTGTCCAGTCATGATAAGGCCATATAAGGCCCAAAAAAGTTTGATAGGCCCATGCCTGGCCCAAAGTTTCAACAGTTTAGGGTCCTGTCCTGCGAGTCCTGCAGGGATCTTGTGAATCTTGTGGCCCAACTCACTTCTGCTGTTATTCACTCACTGTTGTTCACTAGTCATTTGATGTGCCCCTCATGACAGGGACTTGCCAGACTGGTTGCCTGTTGCCAGGGTAGACTGATTTTTATCTGTGGGGTGGCCAATTTGTCTTCGTGGTTCTGAAACCAGCTAGATCAAAAGTCTAGCACAATATTCAGAATTCGAAAAAATCACCACACCGAAACCAGCTTGGAATATTTCATGATATCATATGATATCATGATATCGGGATGATCTCATGTGGAAGTCCGGGGATCTCCCCCCAAATCCTCCAAGAGTCCACCCCAGACCGGAAGGTGCAATATGACTACGAAGTCAGCCAACTTCATCATATTGAGCATGATGTTTTCACTGTTTTCATCCATGGTTTCCAATCATTTAGTCCATGGCAAGGCAAAAACTGCTCCAAGCAACAACCAATGGATCCACTCAAATCCAGTGCTGGGGTACCCTTCACACAGCCAGTTGATTCTAGATGTGGTCGAGGACTGCTGGGAGCCCTCTACAACACGGGTCATGGGTCATGACGTCATGACATATTCGCAGAGAATTGGACGATTCGTAGCTGTTCATCTCTGATCATTCAACAGTTTGCTTTGGAAAATCACAATTTTGTATACGTAAATCATCTATCTATGGGACATTTCTATACCCTCAAGTACGAAGTGTCTAGAATGGGTACCCCCCTGGGGGTAAATTCTAGGGTTCTAGAATGGGTACGCGATATGATTGTAGAACCCTGACCTCCCCCCATTGTAGAACCCTGGAGGTTTTGGTTCCTAGAGTTGTTTTTTTTGATGTTGTAATTTGCTGTTTCCGACCACTTCAGATATCTATGGATCATGTGGAAGTAGTTACCTGGAAAGCCTGGTGCCCATCATTTTGGGCACTGTCCAAAGTGCCCGGAACTCTTGTCATTGGAAAATGTGCCATTTTGGGAGTAGGATTTCTACGTGTGTTTATAGCACTCTACGGGTATTTGTGGCATTTTTTTTCTAGACATGGTGCGCCAAAAGATAAAGTGTCGTTTTTATGTGTAAGAAGGTTTATGTTCACATGGGCCATGGACCATGGATATGAAATTATCGCTTTGGCTGCGCAACCTCCTGAACCAAAACATGCAAAGTGCATAAACGCAGATAAACAAAACAGGATGCCAGGTACCAATCACCAATGCAACAAGAGGTCCTGAAATGATATCTCCCAACTCATTCTGTGGATTTATCTTCACCAGGCCAATAGATATGAACTTAGACCCGCCATTCCTGTACAACCCTCTGAACTAAAATGTAAAAACAATATGATTTATTACTCGGAAACGGTTGAGTTTTACACACGGTTCTGAAATGATATCTCCCAACTCATTCTGTGGATTTATCTTCACTAGGGCCTTGGATATGAACTTAGACCCACCATTCCTATACAACCTTCTGAACAAAAATGAAGAAACCAATTTGATTTATTACTCCGAAACGGTTGAATTTTGCATAAGGTTCTGAAATCATATCTCCCAGCTCATTCCGTGGATTTGTCTTCACAAAGGCCCAAAGATATGATTTTAGACCCCCCAATCCTGCAAAATCCTCTGAACCAAAATGAAGAACCCAATTTGATTTAACTAAAATTAATTACTACTCGGAAACGGTTGAGTTTTACACACGGTTCTGAAATGATATCTCCCAACTCATTCTGTGGATTTATCTTCAAGGGGGCCTTGGAAATGAACTTAGACCCACCATTCCTATACAACCTTCTGAACAAAAATGAAGAAACCAAATTGATTTATTACTCCGAAACGGTTGAATTTTGCATAAGGTTCTGAAATCATATCTCCCAGCTCATTCCGTGGATTTGTCTTCACAAAGGCCCATAGATATGATTTTAGACCCCCCAACCCTGCAAAATCCTCTGAACCAAAATGAAGAACCCAATCTGATTTAACTAAAATTAACTACTACTCGGAAACGGTTGAGATTTACACACGGTTCTGAAATGATATCTCCCAACTCATTCTGTGGATTTATCTTCACTAGGGCCTTGGATATGAACTTAGACCCACCATTCCTATACAACCTTCTGAACAAAAATGAAGAAACCAATTTGATTTATTACTCCGAAACGGTTGAATTTGCATAAGGTTCTGAAATCATATCTCCCAGCTCATTCCGTGGATTTGTCTTCACAAAGGCCCAAAGATATGATTTTAGACCACCCAATCCTGCAAGATCCTCTGAACCAAAATGAAGAACCCAATTTGATTTAACTAAAATTAATTACTACTCGGAAACGGTTGAGTTTTACACACGGTTCTGAAATGATATCTCCCAACTCATTCTGTGGATTTATCTTCAAGGGGGCCTTGGAAATGAACTTAGACCCACCATTCCTATACAACCTTCTGAACAAAAATGAAGAAACCAAATTGATTTATTACTCCGAAACGGTTGAATTTTGCATAAGGTTCTGAAATCATATCTCCCAGCTCATTCCGTGGATTTGTCTTCACAAAGGCCCATAGATATGATTTTAGACCCCCCAACCCTGCAAAATCCTCTGAACCAAAATGAAGAACCCAATCTGATTTAACTAAAATTAACTACTACTCGGAAACGGTTGGGTTTTACACACGGTTCTGAAATGATATCTCCCAACTCATTCTGTGGATTTATCTTCACTAGGGCCTTGGATATGAACTTAGACCCACCATTCCTATACAACCTTCTGAACAAAAATGAAGAAACCAATTTGATTTATTACTCCGAAACGGTTGAATTTGCATAAGGTTCTGAAATCATATCTCCCAGCTCATTCCGTGGATTTGTCTTCACAAAGGCCCAAAGATATGATTTTAGACCACCCAATCCTGCAAGATCCTCTGAACCAAAATGAAGAACCCAATTTGATTTAACTAAAATTAATTACTACTCGGAAACGGTTGAGTTTTACACACGGTTCTGAAATGATATCTCCCAACTCATTCTGTGGATTTATCTTCAAGGGGGCCTTGGAAATGAACTTAGACCCACCATTCCTATACAACCTTCTGAACAAAAATGAAGAAACCAAATTGATTTATTACTCCGAAACGGTTGAATTTTGCATAAGGTTCTGAAATCATATCTCCCAGCTCATTCCGTGGATTTGTCTTCACAAAGGCCCATAGATATGATTTTAGACCACCCAATCCTGCAAAATCCTCTGAACCAAAATGAAGAACCCAATTTGATTTAACTAAAATTAATTACTACTCGGAAACGGTTGAGATTTACACAAGGTTCTGAAATGATATCTCCCAACTCATTCTGCGGATTTATCTTCACTAGGGCCTTGGATATGAACTTAGACCCACCATTCCTATACAACCTTCTGAACAAAAATGAAAAAAACAATTTGATTTATTACTCCGAAACGGTTGAATTTTGCATAAGGTTCTGAAATCATATCTCCCAGCTCATTCTGTGGATTTGTCTTCACAAAGGCCCATAGATATGATTTTAGACCCGCCATTCCTGCAAAATCCTCTGAACCAAAATGAGGAATCCAATTTGATTTAATTATATTTAATTATTACTCGGAAACGGTTGAGATTCACACAAGGTTCTGAAATGATATCTCCCAACTCATTCTGTGGATTTGTCGTCACAAAGTCCCATAGATAAAGTTTTAGACCTCCCAATCCTGCAAAATCCTTGAACAATAATTGGAAAAAACAAATTGATTCATCAACCGAAAGGTGTTGGGTGCCAGAAAGTTCTTTTTGAAACAGATTAAGGCATACTTTAAAACTGCTACTTGTATATGTCATTTTTTTGACATATTGCCAAAAATTGTCTTACGACGCTTTCCCCTGATAACTACATCGACACCTTAAGTACTAGTCAAAAAATGAAATGATGTCATGGACGCGAGTAGTAACCAGTCCCAGCCAATCAGTTTTTAGTATTAAGATGATAAGATGAACTGGGATCTTGACCCCAAAAAATGTTTTCTAAATGCGATTAATTAAAGATCAAATTGACCAACCTGAAATTTCCCGGAAATGACAACCGGGATCTATTTTTATTCATTAGGGGGGTTAGAAATAGGAAAAGGGGATTAGCATGGGAGCAAAGGAAGCAGGCGGATAATTGAGTTTGTGAGATTGCGGGTTTTGCTTAGGTGTAATTGTTGACTTTGTTTTTTGATAACAGAAAGGCTCCAAAATGAAGGGGTTCTAGGATCATTTTCCTGATTCCCCATGATATGATTCCAGAACCCCCCTAACACAAGCTGCCAAGGTTCTAACATCATCAAGTTGATCCCCAGGGCCCCCCCCCTGGGAAAATGATTGTAGAACCCCTGTAGGGGTTCTAGAATCCCCCTCAAGGGTCCCTGCTCGTAGTTGACGGTATACATTTCTCCGATAGCAAAGTGTCAGACCAGATGGTAATACATTGTCAATTGATGTCAATTTATTTACGAAAAATCTGTGGTCCCCAGCACCATACCGATGTTGACCCAGGCACTTCAAAGTTAACCAGTTAACCCAGGCCCATAGCGATACTTGCCATGGTCCAAAAACTTGGGTGCCCAAACTTGGCATAGTCATCAAACCATCAATAGAGATTTATACATCGATAATGAGGATTCCGATTGTCGGATCGATGACCGTTTCAAATATACATATCTTAAGACCATCTCACATGTCCTCCAGAGAAATACTTCAATGGGACATTGTCAGATCTGCTCATGACTCAGGATTGTGGCTTTCACCAAAATTTCTGTGCACGAGGTCACAACCCTCTGGTTATGACTAACATAGCCATGGAAAATGGCCCATTTATAGATGGTTTACCTGGGTTTACCTATTAAAAATGATGATTTTCCATGGCTATGTTGGTCATAACCAGATTGTCGGGGCATCCGTATCCCAGCAACATGAGCAACGAGGATATGGATGTGTAATGCAAAACTACTGTACACGAATGTGTCATATGTGCACGAACATCATATATAGGTATAGATATATGAATATGCTCATGTATATATATATATATATTATATACATATTATATCTATAATATATATATATGATCGAGAGACCTTTAGGTACCATTTTGTTCCGGTTAATTATGATAAATTTTAAAGCTTTTTGGAAAATTGAGAGGATTTAAAGAATTAAATGATTTAATCCTTTTAATCCTTATAATCCTCCAGAGCCTTTGGGGGATTAAACGGATTAAAAGGATTAAATCATTTAATCCTTTTAATCCTTTTAATCCTCCAAAGCCTCTGGAGGATTAAAAGGATTAAATGCTTGGTCCTCACATTGGGGTTCTGGGGGCTCTGGAGGATTAAAAGGATTAAAAGGATTAAAAGGATTAAAAGGATTAAATGATTAAATCCTTTTAATCCTTTTAATCCTCCAGAGCCTTTGGGGGATTAAATGGATTAAAAGGATTAAATGATTTAATCCTTTTAATCCTTTTAATCCTCCAGAGCCTTTG